TATAAAAGTAAAATGATCAACGCGAATAATAGCCGAATTGGTCGTGGCTTGGAAGTTTAATACGGAGCAGCCCCAAATGAGTATGAATCTGCAAACTCATTTTGCTTGTCACCGTGTACAGTAGCATGCATGCATGTCTTGTTTTGTTGGCTTGCCACCGTATACAATAGCATGCACAAGACAGTCAGCATCCGCGACATAGGACGGCTCTGCGGCGTAGCGCCCTGGCGGCTGCCTTGACTCCCTTTGGCGTGCTCCGGTGAGGCAAAATGACAAAAACCTTCTCCGGCAAGCAGCGGATGATGGCGAGCATCGCTTGGCAGCGTTGCATCGTCTACGGACTCAGGCGGCTCAACGACGTCCCCGGCAACTCCGACGAGATGGCTTGCGACGTAGCTGGAGCTGGTGACGCCTTGCGGGCACCGAGTAGTGACGCTCCGGCCGGCATTCTCCTCGAGCAACCAGCCGATGAGTTCGAAGAAGATGGTAACGTCGACGAGAGCGAGCGGACGTCAGTAATGTAGTGTAGGGGAGGCTGCGACCGGCAAGGCGACGACGTCCAACGTCTCGGCGACATCACATCGCCAGGTAAAGACGTCGTGGGATAGAGGTTGTGGCCGGAGCTATTTGGATAGAAAAATATATTTTTGCAGGCGGGTTTTTTAAAAGTCTGCCCAGAAGTTTAAGTTATCTCCTCTTTCCCTGTTTAACACTTCGATTTTTTTCAACTCATCCTCTCTCTCCTACCGCATCCTTATCTCCTCTGCATACTCTTCTCTCTCTTTCTCAAACTCTCCCGGCCAGGTAAGTGGCGGCGGCTAGCGGGAGCACGGCGAGGGGCACGTGGTGGCGGGCAAGTGGGCAGTGGCGACGACCGTGCCCCGCCCGGATCCAGCGGTAGTGGCGGGAGGAGCATGGCCGCGTTAGCGGTGGGAGTAGCCTGGCGGCGGCGGGAGGACCCCGGCAGAAGCCGGCGCGCTCAATTTTTGTGAATTTATTTTGGATTTTTGTTTTCGCGTGCAGACGACATAAGCACCCAAACACGAAAAATCGATTTTTGCGTGAGGGTACACCACCTGCATGAAAAAGTTAGATTTTCACGGACCTTTCCAGCTCCACATGTCAAAACCACTTTTGACCCGGAAAAAATGTTTTTATATTAGTGAGGTACCAATACTCAGCTACTTTACTCAATTGTTACCGTTGATACGGAAACAAGTGGACCGGATCAAACTTGACGGCGATTGGTTATTAAAGCATACGCAAACCTCAATTGAATTACGTTGTACCAGTGCCAATTTGGGAACGACAGGGCTGGACACTTGGACAAAAGTTTTTTTTTTCCTGAAAGAATTCATGATTAGACTATAGAGTGGGTAACTGGGTACTGGGGGAGAGAAATGGAGGATACCGTATATCCATGTTATTATAGGGGACACAGGTATCCCTAAAAAAAAAGGGGGACACAGGTAGAGTAGATCGTGTGCAGAATTATTAGGGGACAAACAATTGCCGGAATAAACAGTTACTAGTATAAGCCAATAGACTAATATTCATTCCGTCTCATTTTAAACACAGCCATCAGTTTCCGTTCCGACTTGATCGTCTGTCTTATTTAAAAAAATTTATAATTAGTATTTTTGTTGTTATGATATGATAAAACATGAATAATACTTTATGCGTTAGACATAAAAACTCAAAGAATTCACAGTTGTGTTTAAAATGGGACGGAGTGAGTAGTAATTAGTAACATGACCGTGATAGTCCTTTTATTACTCCTACTAGATCACGTCTCATTCAGCACAGTTGCACAGGCTTTTGTTGCACGCCATTTTCGCCATCCTCGTTTCATTTAAACATGCCAGTCAAATTTTCTTTATGAACCAAAAACTTTAGGTAACTGATGATTCTGCTCAACTGCCAGTCATGTTTGCTGGGATTATTGGTAAGCCCTATAAACGTGGGGTTTTGTTTTCATTGGTAATAATACGGACTGGTGGTCAAGCTATCAGTGAAGGACATTGTAAAGGTAGCCATGTTGGTTGTGGCACAACCTCAAAGCTGTATAAATATTCTGATGAAGCTGTCGATAAACGTACTACAGTCGAACACCGAGAGGCCGGTGTACTACATATTCCATTTTTTAGTGCACAACCTCAAAGCTGTATACTATGGCCTGGTTTAGGGGGGTGTTATAGATTTAGGGGTGTAAAATTTTGACGTCTTACATCGGATATATGGACACACATTTGAAGTATTAAAAATACTATAATAACAAAACAAATTACATAATCCGACTATAAACTGCGAGACGAATTTGTTAAGCATAATTAACCTATCATTAGCAAATATTTACTGTAGCACCACAATGTCAAATCATGGAGCAATTAGGCTTAAAATATTCGTCTCATAAATTAGTTGTAATCTGTTCAATTAGTTATTTTTTAGCCTATATTTAATACTTCATACATGTGTTCAAACGTTCAATGTGACAGGGTGAAAAATTTTGGAGTGAGATCTAAACAGGGCCTTAGTTCCTAAAATTTTTTCCCAAAAACATCATATCGAATCTTTGGAGACATGAATGGAGCATTACATATAGATAAAAAAAACTAATTGCACAGTTAGGGGGGAATCGTGAGATGAATCTTTTGAAGCTAACTAGTCCATGATTAGCCATAAGTGATATAGTAACCACATGCGCTAATGACGTATTAATTAGGCTCAAAAGATTCGTCTCACGGTTTTTAGGCGAGTTATGAAATTAGTTTTTTCATTCGTATCCGAAAACCCTTCCGACATCAGGTTAAATATCTGATGTGACACCTAATTTTTTTTTCTTTTTTTGAACTAAACAGACCCTGTATATGTTATCCGGGGAGGAGACAAGTAAATAAGAGTCGGCAATCAGCAGCAGATGGGTAAGAAGTAAGAACCCAACGATGATTATGTTTTAACTGTGCTCAAGCTACCTAACGAGAAAATTGCTATGCATATGACAACCGTCCGACTCACGTACAACTAAATTCGATCAATGTTGTAAACAATTACAGTGCATATGAATATGTTCTTATTTAATTGATTTATGATTGTATATTTGTAGTAATAAATGAGTTGTACAAGTAGATCGTATGTATAGCAACCCACGACGCAGCTGAAACGGAGGTACGGTTAACGCAGACAAGAAAAATGTCGCATGAATGATACTGTTTTCCTCTCCCTTAAAAATGGAGAGGTTCTGTTTGGCTCTAAACAGTTCATGCCAAACTCGGTGTTGGCCATGACAGTACGATTTGTTTGTGATGTACGAGCCATTCCCTAACGGCGACAACATTTTGAAGCTCTGTCTCTTCCACTGCTAATGTGGTCCGTGTCATGGTGCGCATCAACAAAAATCGTTGTTAGAGCTTCTGTTAAATATATGTAAAGAAACTAGTTACATTTTGCTCATAAATTCTATTAAATGTCAGGATTACAAAAATTAGTCAATATTTGTCTTAAACTCTCTCTTGAATATATAGAAGAGGGACAATAGGTTAGTAGCCTAGCCGACCGATGGTCGTGAATACCCTACTACGCTAAAATTATATTGGATCTAGGAGAAGTACGCACATTAAGTGTTTTGGAGATATAGGATTTAGTTGAACCTCGTTAATAAATAATCACATCTCAATAGCATTATCATGTTTAGATATTTTATAATATTTTTCACATTCGGTTACCAATATCGATTTTAGGATCGGTTTTATAGCAATTATACACCACATATTAGTACTAATATGCTTCGTAGGTCTTGAACAGTTAAACTTCATTTCCATGTGTAGGATTGAAATTTATTTTTGCAATCGGATTCCCTCCAGTTCTCTCTTCTTCAGTTTTCCAATACGGGAACAGCGGAACAGCAGCTGGTGTTTGAAATACTTCTAAGTCATGTGCCTACTACTGTAGTAGCGAGTAGTAACCTCTATTAATCTCTCACTACTAGAAAAACGATCTTTGTTGGATCGAACTAAAACCACAATAATAAAGATGATCTTTAGTCCCGGTTAAAAACCCCACAGCTATTTTATGATTTTTAATCCCGGTTAATATCTTTAGTCCCGGTTCATTCCCTGTCAGTAGGATGTCAGGGGGCCGAGGATCTTTAGTCCCGATTGGTGACACCAACCGGAACTAAAGATCATCTTTATAGTCCCGGTTGGTATTATATTGAATGTTTGGACATATGTATAAAGTATTAATTATGGACAAAATAAAAAACCAATTACACAGTATGTGTGTAAATTGCGAGATGAATCTTTTAAGCCTAATGGCCATAATTTAACAATGTGGTGCTACAGTAAACATTTGCTAATGACGGATTAATTAGGCTTAATAAATTTGTCTCGTTGTTTTCTGGCGGAATATGTAATAAATTCGTCTCGTTGTAATTTGTTTTTTGGCGAAATATGTAATTTGTTTAACACTTTAAATGTGCGTCCATATATCCGATATAACAACCAAATCTAAAATTTTTCTCCAACTGAATAAGGCCTACGTGCATGTGTGCATGCGTGACGATGTCATGCTTGTGTGCCATCGGTGGCGCGCGGCTGGACCACGGGACCGACGCGGTGGCGCGTTACCACGGTGCGGGATCGTCCCGGCTATCGGTCCCTCGCGTCCACGCCGCGCAAACGAACTGGTCGCGCGCCCTCATTCCGCGGCACGCATATATTTTCACATCTTTTTCAAAAACACGTGTATAACTGCAAAAAGTTTAAAAATAGCGTATATTTTCAAAAAAAAAATCGTATTATTCAGCTGCTTGAGATGCGCCGATGCCTAATTGCCTATTGGCTCGTTCTGGTTAAATTCATCGTTTCATCGCACGGTACGAGCACATGACACGGACGGACTGGCTCACTTGACTGGCTTCGTTAATGGACTCGCCACCTCACCTACTCACCAGGCTTACTTTCATCAATCTCACTGGCTTCTCTGCAGCCTCTGAACCGGGGAACAGAAGCCGGGGCCTGGGCCTGGGCCTGGGCTCTCGCTTCTTTAAATTCTCCCACTCCTTCACTCGCTTCGTACACGAGAGCCAAGCTGCGACGCCACTCGAGGGCACGACACAAGCTGACGTTTCCCTTAACCCAAACGGCGGCGCGAGGAAGCAGCCAATCAATTTCCTCGTAGAGGCATGACGAGCTCGTCGGGGCAGCTCAAGAGGCTGAAGCCGCTGTACCAGCTGGCGGTGAACAACATCCTCGCCGTCGTCGCCGTGCCGCTCGCGGCGGCGGTGGTGTTGAAGGCGGCGGAGCTCGGGCACGAGGAGATCCTCGCCAGGGCGCGCGCGCTCCCGCCGGCGCACCTGTTCTTGGCCGCGTTCGTCCCGGCCGCGGCGGCGGTTGTCTACCTCATGCTCCGCCCCCGCGCGGTGTACATGGTGGACTACGCGTGCTTCCGCACCAGCCCCAACTGCCGCGTCCCGTTCGCGACGTTCCTGGAGCACTCCCGCGTGTGGCCGGGCTTCGAAGAGCGGAGCGTCCGGTTCATGACGCGCCTGCTCGAGCGATCGGGCCTCGGCGAGGAGACCTGCCTGCCCTACGCGCAGCACTACATCCCGCCGTCGCGCGACCTCGAGTCATCCCGCGCCGAGGCCGAGCTCATCATCTTCTCCGCCATCGACGACCTGCTCGCCAAGACCGGCATCTCCCCCCAGGACATCGACATCCTCGTCGTCAACTGCAGCCTCTTCGCCCCGACGCCGTCCTTCACCGACATGATCATCAACCGGTACAAGCTCCGCAAGGACGTGCGCAACGTGCACCTCTCCGGGATGGGCTGCAGCGCGGGGCTCATCTCGGTGGGTCTCGCCAGGAACCTGCTCCAGGTCGCGCCCAAGGGCGCGCACGCGCTGGTGGTGTCCACGGAGACCATCACGCCAAACTACTACATGGGCCAGGAGCGTGCCATGCTGCTGCCCAACTGCCTGTTCCGCATGGGCGGCGCCGCCGTGCTCCTCTCCACCAACGGTGCCAAGGCGCGGTTCCGGCTGGCGCGCGTGGTGCGGACTCTGACCGGCGCCCAGGACGGTGCGTACCACTGCGTGTACCAGGAGGAGGACGGCCGCGGCAACGTTGGGATCAACCTCTCCAAGGACCTGATGAGCATCGCCGGCGACGCGCTCAAGGCCAACATCACGACCATGGGCCCGCTGGTGCTCCCGGCGTCGGAGCAGCTCCTCTTCGCGCTCTCCTTCATGGCGCGCAAGGTGCTGAGCGGGCGGATCAAGCCCTACATCCCCGACTTCCGCACGGCGTTCGAGCACTTCTGCATCCACGCCGGCGGCCGCGCCGTGATCGACGAGCTGCAGCGCAGCCTCACCCTGTCGGACGAGCAGGTGGAGGCGTCCCGCATGACGCTCCACCGGTTCGGCAACACGTCGAGCAGCTCGCTCTGGTACGAGCTCGCCTACGTCGAGGCCAAGGGCCGCATGCGCAAGGGCGACCGCGTGTGGATGATCGGCTTCGGCTCCGGCTTCAAGTGCAACAGCGCCGCGTGGGAGTGCATCCGCCCCGCCGCCAACGCCGACGGGCCATGGGCCACCTGCATCCACCGCTACCCCGTCGACATCCCCGACGTGCTCAAGCACTAACCGAGTCACTCACAACTCCAGCATCCTCTCTGTGTTCGTGCCCGATCACAATCGATTCGTGCAAAAATAATTATCACTAACAGTTTGAGAGACACCGAGGGCTGACGTGTGTAGTTGCCGCGGTGATCGTCGTGTCAAGACAGGTCATGGTACGTCTGCGGCGCGGCGCGGTTCAGGCTGGTGCGTCTGCGGCGCGGCGCGGCGCGACGCGGGGGGGGGGGGGGGGGGGGGGGGTTTAATTGGTTCGATCGCTTTACCACTCGCTTCAGCTGAAGTACTCCATATATTGATACACAAGTTTGGTGTTACCCGTGATGTACTTAGTAGTGGTCCCATGTGTCTCGCTTTTATTTTCTTTTTCTCTTCATTTATCTCTTCCTTGATGTACTGATACTGTTTATCACAGGGAAAAGGGCACCATCGATCACTCTATCCAAAAGCATGTAACTTTGACAGAAATGAAACTTCCAGCGGTACAAAGTTGCTCCTATACTGTAAAGCAGACCTATAGTTGCATACATTCATGAAGAATCTAGTAAGGTCTGGCATGTTCCTGAATGTTGAAAACCTGCTTCCCTGTGTTAATTCGGTGACCCACGTCGTCCGTCGATTTACCGCACGCACATTGGCTGATTGGCAGCGAGGATGCTGTGCCCTGCAAGCCCGCCCCCGCCATGTCAACATGTCACCCCTCGATCGGTTTTTAATCCCTCCAGTGGCGTCGCAGGCTCGGATTTATGGCCCTGCCGGCAGCCACAGTGCAACTGCGCATAATGGCTATACTAGCGTGTATCTAGCGCATGAATTGAAAGCGCCGGTACTTAACAGTAAAAACACCACAGTCATGTACTGTCGCCGGCGGTCCGCCCTGCGCACCTGAGCGCATGGACCGTCCACATCGAGCCCACGCGGGACGAGGACGACATCCTCCTCTCTGCACCAGCAGATCAGAACGCAATGGAAAGAATCGATCGATTCCCTTCTCTGCTCCTGATTCCTGAACTCCACGAGGATTAACAGATCGGTGATGGTTTCATTTCCTGTGTTGCGAATGCGAGCCCCCACCTGAGGCACGCACGGCACCGCCACACCGGCGTCAAGCGGGTTGGCATGTCGTTGTCACGCGCCCGCGTCTCCCTCTTCTGTTCTAATCCCCATTTCATAAAAAAAACCAATCTAGTATCGGACCAGATGTGACATATCTTAATACTACGAACCTGAACATATATATATCTAAATTCATCGTATTAGAATATGTTATATCCGATTGTAGATTTGTTTTTTTACATGATGGAGGGAGTACCTTTCGCTTTCTTTTTTCTGCTGGCATGCATGCATTTGCCACCACCGGAAACAGGATCATGATGACTTCGATGATCAATCATCGACCTGTAGCGGAGTAAATGGCTGCAAAGCTCTATCCAATCCAGCAGGCAGGTACTCCCTCGGTCAAAAAAATCAAATCCTGGGTTTCCGTGTCTAACTTTGAATGTCCGTCTTATATGAATTTTTTTTATAATTCGTATTTTCATTGTTGTTAAATGATAAAACATGATTAATATTTTATGCGTGACTTGTCTTTTTATTTTTTTTTCATATTTTTTTAAATATAAGACGGACGGTTGGACATAAAAATTAGGGTTTGCCTTTTTTTTCAGGACAGAGGGAGTAGTATTTTACTACTGCCCCCACCCCCAGTGGTTCGTGTACGGTGATGATAAATTAGTGATGAAGCTGCTTGTCACTCCTCATAAACGGCACCACCGTCAAATAAGAACCATCGCCACCACTTTCAGTGTCGGACAGTAGAGATGGAGAAAGGCTGCTAGAAACGAACACACACTCACAAAAAATCTGCAATGTTGGCATGACCACATATAGTCTGGCCTCTGTATAAAGCACAAATGATCTGAAAATGTGCAAAATTATCGGCACATGCATCTACACTATTATTTACGTGCCAACTGCTTCTTTGACTGCACGATGTGTACGTCTTTCCAAATATGCATATGTAGCAATGTGCATATATACACACACAATCACGCATGGCTGTATGCAACTATATGCATACGTGGGGATTTTGGCTCCGAGGAGATGGGAGCCTAAACAAAATAACTCGGAAAAATCGGCTTCTTCGGAAACACCGATATATATTTGTCTGAACCTATGCATATGAATAGGGCTATCAACGAGCCGAGCTAGAGCGAGCTCGCCCGCCTAGGCTTAAGCCGAGCCTATAAAATGTTCGAGCTTTCAAACAGGCTCGGTTCGAGCTCGACTACCGAGCTCGATTTTTAATTAGAACAATGTATATTTTAAAGGATAATTTTTTAAAAATAACTAATTTATGGTTTATCATATTAGTAGAAGAGGAAAAAGGATAAAATAAATATATGATGCCAATACAAGGCATACAAATAACATATTTGATCTACTAATTTATTAAATAGTAAAAAAAATCATATATTACTAGACTCGTTTGAAGCTCGAGCTCGACTCGACAAAGCTCGCGTGGGACAGGCTCGGGCTCGGCTCGTTTGGAGCTCGAGCCGAGCTCGAATCGAGTTTAGGATGAGTCGAGCTCGAGCAGCTTGCGAGCCTCGAATTTTTTTTGACAACCCTGTATATATGAACAAACAAATATATGTGAAATATGTCAACTGTTCGTCGATGCTGGTGATGGCAGCATGCATCTTGCCTGACCATGAACGTTGGTTGCCTTGTCTCATTGCGAAACTGTAACGACGTTCCTGATGTGATGTTTCGTCGGACACTCCGTACAGCAAGGCTGCCTGGTGCACAGTATTCTGAGATGGTGTTCAAGCTGAAAGTCATCAGTACTACTGACATACTTTAACAGTTGACATCAGGGATTCGTACCTGTACATGAAGATCGGTGCATCAATTCGCACAAGCACACACAAGCGCACAGCACTAAGGCCATGTTTCTTTCAGTTTGAAATTATTATAATCTAAATTATTAAGTCAGATTACTATAAACTATATTATTATAATTTGTAGTAGAATAAACGGTTAGTTGTTTCTTTCCTAGATTATTAGAGCCTAGATTATTGGGTTTGCAAGTCTAAAAAGGGAGTGGGGTGGCATGGTGGGTAATTTTTCACCCAATAATCTAGAAAAAGCTCACCTAAATAAGCTTATCAGATTATAATAAGTTGGGCTCCAGATTATAATAAGCTACTTCAATAAGTTGTCTGTTTCTTTCAGCTTACTTCTAATAATCTAGATTATAATAATCCCAAGCTGAAAGAAACAGCGCCTAAGTATAATTGAGAGCTTTTTTTCAGAACAAAGCACAATAGTACTACTCCTTAGCAGTTAGTGATCCTTTTTTTTTTTTGACGGAGCAGTTAGTGATCCTTAACAGTTAGTAACCCTGTTGCGCGCTGTGTGGATTTCTTCAGGGACAAGGGCGCCAAGAACTCCAGTGGATAGAATGTGGGCTGGGCCTAGTCCACTACTGGGACAGGCTCGCACCTGTCATGGTCTCATGGACCGGTGGTGTTACAACGGCTGTGTACTGGGTCCAGCTCTGCATATCTGGGCCCATATGTTATTGTCTCTTGGAATAAGATCACTTTGACTCCCTCAACTGACCATCAAATCTAAATTGTATCTCTCAACTGTAATACCAGAAATCTTTGTTAGAATAGGTGTCGAATATACTAGTCCTATTTGGTTACAGTTGGACTTGGAGTTATAATAGGTGTTAGGGGGTGGAGTTAGAGTCGGACTCTGTAACCCGGCATCTCTCTTAAATAGAGAGGGGGCACCACAATGTAACCATGGCGACTACAATGTAGCGTAGACACGCAGGGAGAGGATGGCGGCGATGCCATGGACTCGTAGCGGCTAGGAGCTATATTGGTTGGGGAGGAGCGCCCATAATCAGAGCCCCGGGGATGTATGCTCCGGCTGAACCTCGTTAACAAATATCATGTGTTCCTGTGTCGTTATCTGACATGTCTTGGGTGATCGATGACTGAAGCAATCGGGAAGGTTAGTCGTCGTTCCGCTATATCGACTAATTTTTATAACAAGTGGTATCGGAGCATAAGGTTTCAGCATTGGATCAAGAAGACATGTGGAGGAGGAAACACGAGGTGGGGATCGCGCATCGACAGGAGATCGTCAGCCGTGGCGATGAGATCGATGGCGACAACGAGGACGTTGCGGAGGCGGCGAGCTCGCTCGCGATCAGACCGGCGATGGCGGAACGTGACCGGAAGACGGGGCCGGGCGTGGCCGAAGGCGACCCGAGAGATTGGAGGGGTAGCGCCATGGACGGCGCGCCCGACGCACACGGTGATCGCGGATCCGCGGCGGCAGTAGGCCAGTGACGGAAGGGCGAAACCGACGAGCGTGGCGCGGCGCGGCGGACGTGGAGGGCCGGGACGACGGGGTCGTGGATGGTGAACACAAGGGCTGCGACTGCGGTGCGTGCATAGGCACGGACAGATAGCACAGGTGCTGTCTTATATGTATGGCGTGCAAAGACTAACTAGCAAAGGCAATAAGAAAAACCAAATCGAGCAGGATACAACAATCACATGCGCATGGACCTGGAAGCTGCGGTCTTGGAGATTGTACATACTTCGAAAGGCCACGTGTATATGCAGTTGGCTTGCATTGATATATGGCTATCGTACAGATCAAGGAGCAGCACTAGCGTCTGCATGCATGTGTGTTTATTGTATGGCAGGGCCATGAAAAAAAGCTGACAGAGAGAGATTGGTGGGCCAAAAGAAATCGGCTGGAGGAGTTGGCGGAAAAAATCGACTTGTCAGAGTCGGATATGGCTAATTCGACCGCAGTTGTTACGGAATCGGATGCAGTCGTGTATGGACACCGACTCGTGGCCACATCGATTTCCTATTGGTTGTGCTTTAAATAGGCAGCCAAGGAGGGAGACGAACCAAAGCAACAAGAAGTGGCAGCGTTTTTGAAGGCTACACATCTCGGCGTCAGCAATCAAGCGAAGCAGGTGGCTCGGCGGGATTGGTCAAACGTTGTACAAGGGGCCCTATAGGCTTGCTGTGTAGAGGCTCGTGGCAAAGCGCACACGTACGGGTGGACCAAGCCAGGCCGACAAGATCGTGCGGAGCAGAGGCACATCGAGGGCGGAAGATTGGTCACATCGGATTATAGCGAACGGGGGTTTGCTAGTCTATGTCTGAGATCGGATCACAAGACGAGATTGTGAAGACGAATACAGACGGTACTGAGAAAGGCGAGTATTCTGGTGGCGACAGACCAGTCAGGTCGCGGGTTGGCAAGATGGCGCCGACAGGTATGAAATTTGATTTGGTGAAGTTTGACGGCTCCAGAAATTTTGGCTTGTGGCAAACTAGGGTCAAAGATTTGTTAGCTCAACAAGGAGTTTCAAAGGCTTTGAAGGGTGTCAAACCGGCCAAGATGGAGGATGACGATTGGGAGGAGATGCAGTTGCAGGCGGCTGCGACAATAAGGCTATGTCTCTCAGATCAGGTCATGTACCATGTGATGGAGGAGACCTCACCAAAGATAATTTGGGAAAG